ACGATGAACACAGACACACCAGACCTCTTCACAATAAGACAGGAAACACAGTGAGATATAAACATGACAACCTGAACTGACAACATAAGCCACAGACATGAAATACATGGAAAGCAGGGGAGACTTAACAAAGTGGAAACACGAGGGGGAAAATAACTAGAAACACCTAGGCATGATAACGATAAACTTAGGAAACCTGAAGGCTACATAACTAAACACAAAACGCTGGGTCAATGGACCCAGGATCATGACAACTTCAGACACAAATCCAAGTTGTGTCAAGTCTCAAATGTGTCCTATTCCATACCTTGCTTTGTTTTCAAAACTTGGAGCACATGATTAACATATTTCCACACCCAACAGCTCTTAACATACTGCTCTGAAAAGGTGCAGGAACCTCTTTTAATTAGAGTATAGTTTGAAGTCTGTTAAACCCCTATCCCGTATATTGACGTGAAGAAATATAATGCAGTTTGGCCCTTGAGGTTTAATTTTTTAGGGAGGATTTCTTTGTTGTTGAGTGCAATGTTAAAATACGTTCTTTAAAAAGCAAAACGAATAAATAAATAAAAAATTTATTGAATGCAATATGAGCAGAGAGTACAAACATGTTGAGGACTGGCTGTGTTAGTTCACTGAGAGAGTTATTAGTAAAGCAAACAATTTTCACTAGTGGTCAAAAACTAATGTGTAAACTTATATCTCCATTTTATTTTGTTAAATAACAAACAAAACTGCAGCAGAAGTGCTGCCATGTGTCTGGCCAGAAAGAGAGTATCAATGTGTTTATTTGGTAGTTCAATAAAAGGCTTCAGTTAAGAGTGAGAAAAAGTTGTGGTCACACTTGCAGTTTTGTCTTGTTATACAATACTTGAAATAAAACAAACAAACAAACAAAACACTACATTTTCTGAAATATTTATAGGAGTTTTCTTGTTTTTTTGTTTTTGTACTACTTGAATACTAGAGTGGCCCTCTCATGAGATGACAGTGCCAGCAGTGCCATTCTATGTGTGCGTCTTAGCAGAGGGGGATTGCCATTAGAAGCATGTGTTATAGCAGCTACTGTAAAGCAGCATCCGTTGTGATTGCAACAACAGGAAGTTCACATGAGGTGATATTTCTCTACATCATGCCACAAAGCCAGTTTGGACTGGCTTTGTGGCATGATGCAATATGTGCAATACCATGATTTTGTTCAGGTCTTAAATGTGTATTTTCCAATCAACCTATACCAAGAGGTATAGTTTAAATAACTGGATAAATATCTTGCTTTCAGTGTACTTTACACATACAATACTAAAAGGTTTTGAGTTCAGACACGGTGCAAATAAATAAATAAAGGAGAAAAAATGATAACAAACTAGTATTTTATGGGGATAATATAACACCTCTTTAGTGTGTCCTGAGTAATGATCTATGCTAATGATTGAGGAAGCTGATCACAGTATCTGTCCATTTTCTTAACAAATGACAGCACATGAGAATGTCCAGTTTTTAATCACAAAGACTGTGATAAGATGGATTAGCAGTATGTTAAAGTGCCACTTTACTAATGCTGATGGGAG